GGTTAAATTCAAACGGACAGTGAGAATTCCTAGTTCCCGAGTGACGCAAATGCGTAGCTCTACATAAAGGCGTACAGTTAGTTCTGTATATCGTGTTTTGTTCTTAAAATATTGTAATTAATATGGAGCTACCGAGAAAAATCATTATTAGTATATACCACATGCATTACTTGATAATTAATTAAAATTAATTAAGTTTAATTCTACAGGAGAAACTAATTTTTCGTATAATATTGAAATGATACTCTAAATCTGATCTGATTCGAATTATTACTTATTCTTTCTCATATCATCATAGGCGAATATCATATCTTGAGGTGAATTGGTCTTTGTATATGTTTCTTATTTCGGCATTTCTCTTTCCATTGCTTGCTCTACTCACTGCTCCAAAGAAGCTACAACCACATGACTTGTAACTGAGTTGACTACACTCAACCTCAATCTATCCGCCAGAGTATGGTTGTTGTTGAATAGTCAAAGTCCCCATTTTATCGTTAGGATACCTCTGCAGTGGCAACTGTACTTAACTCCAAAGATAAGGCACCCTACATAATCTACGTCGAGGTAGTTTAAGTTGAAGTCTTGGACAGAAGATCTCCTGTTCCACCAAAGATCATGCCAACATTGAGGCATGCCAAATCTAAAGAAAATCTTAAACACGAAACCGTTTCTCTTTCCGCGTTCAGCATGTGAGGAGGTTGCTACGATGACTTAGATCCTGATTGAAGTCTAAGCAGTTTCAGAAAACCACCAATGTCGGTACCAGCCAGTGAGATATATATCCATTGTTTAATTTTCATGACTTTTATTTTGCTTGCCATACCATCCTGTCATCTTGTTGACGATCTTCATGGACTTTCTCGTTGAAATTCTTACGGTCATTTCGTTTGCTGGTCTTCTGATGATGTGTCCCATCCATTCCAAGCATTGTAATTTAATTACTTTCACTATTTTGTTTCCTAACTCACTTCCTATGTCTTTGTTTCTTTTTAATCTTCTTTCTCCATATAGAGTTATGTCAGATCCTATAATTAGCTGCATCAGTGTTTTTTATATATATTTTTTGTCATTTTGCTTAATTTGTTATTTTTTAAGGACTTTCCTGTCTCTTCCGAAAGCCTGGTTTCCCTCGACAACTTTTTGGTTTATTTGTAATGCTTTTGTTTTCCCATGCTTAGTTTTAATCCAGATTTTTGCCTTCTGTCTCTAGTTAGTTAATTGCCTTGGTCACACTAGTTTTTGTTGCCTCTGCATGTTATTTATAAATATATTCTTGTTCATATTTGTTGTGCTCAGTATTTGCTAGTCTGCCAGGTTAAATATTGTTGGAAAGATACTACCACCCTACTTTACACAAACTTTTAAATTTCAATTTGATTTACTCTTAAATTTGACAGTCTAGTCTAAATATGATGTTTTCTCGATGGCTCATTATAAAAAAGATCTCCATATTTAAATTTTATATATTATTTAGGTTGGTAATACCGATCTGTAGTTAGCCGTTATTAGATTGGAGTTTATTAAAAATGTATTATAGTCAATTCTTCTTTGATTCCATCCCACAAACTGCAGAAGAAATCAATGCATCAAGTATATAGAAGTACTTGGACATTACAATCAAAAGAAAGATGCACTGTCTTCAAAAGATACTAGAAAGGCAAAAATTCGAAATGTGATCATAAACATAAAAAAACATTACTTAACATCAAAACAAATGTACCATACAAAATATTTTAAGAATAAATGAATTATTAGCAAAGAACATAAATTGTAATTGACGTCACTGCTATCGATTAGGAAGTAATTATAGGTATAATACAAACTAACCACAAAACAAATACTTTTGCACGTCATTTTTCAATTGTTATCATATTTAGAATTTTGAGGAACAGTTAAAATAATTAGATTTATTAACATGCCACTCACCATAGAATTGACATTTCGTTATATAGCAGTGGTGAAACGTCATTGTTTTAGTTGGCAAAATTGAAAAACTGTAATGAAGCCAGATAAAAAGCGTTGTTTATGGTTTGAAAATACAAACAGTAGTATAACAGGAGAGGAATATTGTAACTCAAACTTCAATAAGTATTTTAAAATGTCAAACAAATTATTAAGCATTATGTTCAGAAATCGTTAAAAAGAACATTGTATCCGATGATTGAAAAAAATAATTAGATATATTGTGTCTCTCCACAACAATTTGCGGTGTTAAAACAACTAAATTTAGACCAGAAATTTCTTACTACATCACTGACACTGTAGACTGTAGACAACAGTATGAGATATTAATTTTTATAAACATAAAATACATCGCAAACGAAAAGAAAACTTGTAAGAGCATAACTTAAAACACTTTCAACCTGGAAAACACACAAAGAAAAACCTTTTCTACTAAAGAACAATTTACCAGACAACAGTGAAACGATCTGTGCTGAAAAATTACTAGGAAGAGTGTAAAATAAAACACAAAGAAAACAACTACAGCGATTGCACATTACTCGTTCCAAATAAATCGAAATTTTAATAGAAGAAAATCAATTTCTGTATTCTAGTGTGTTATTTCACAACTGATAAACAATTTATATGCTAATATCAATATTTATTATTTATTACTATTATCCAGACCAGATACATGCATTGATACATTTTTGAAAAGTAAATTAAATTTCTGATCAGTAAAATTTAAAGCATAATAAATGTGATCCAGCATTTTTAATTAAAAATAAATCATAAAGAGTATAATAAATTGTTTGTAGTTGGGTTTGCTAGTCGAATTAACAATTTGTGCTGTGCGGATCGTAGGTATGCGCACGCCTTCATCGCCCTTCATAGGCAACCAGAATTGACACTCGATGTGTTGGTAATAATCTACGTACTTCAGCGGCAGGGTATTCGAAGGTTTGACAATTATACAGGACCGTACTCGTCTAATTATAAAATTAAAATAACAAATTCATTAAATGCGTTCTTAAATTGAGTTTTTCGTAAAATTGTTGTTAATTTTTAGGCAAAAACATATTAAACGGTAAAAATTCACTCCATTGGCGGAACTAATATTATTATAAAAATTTAATATTTTTTGTTTAATTTTTCAATATTCACTAGATAACTCGCGACGTACTAAGGCCAATAATTATCATCCTAGGACCACGAGATAACTGTCGTTGCATAATTTAGCACTTGACTTGATTCAAACTGACTCTTATATGATTTAATCTTTTCTTTATTTTATTTTTTTGATTTATTCTTTTTCTTGTTGGTTGGCAGATTGTTACCTCCATGGACGATTGTCATTTTTCTATCGTTTGGTAATTTGTCCCTTTTTGCCTTGGACAATCTATTCTCCATTGTATGTTATTTTTTTCGTCTTTTATTAAGGTTTAGATTTAAAGTTGGTTTAATACTTGTAGTATGGGTCTGGATCGTCTGAAAACAGGAAAAACGAAAGCAATAACGAATATTTTTCATTTTTTGTTCAAATTGTTAATGAAAATATTCATGAATTTATAGTTCATAAAATGTTTGAATAAGCGCTAAATTATACCGGGTGGTGAATAGTTAAACATGTTATGGGTAATTATAAACTGTTGGAATGTTTGCTTCCTCAATTATTTTATATCAAAAGTCATGGGGTACTCTTTGTAGAGGACTAAATCTGTATTTAAAAAAAATGTTAAAATTGTTCTACAAATTAAACACATTCCAAAATTTTGCAAAAATATAATACATTTGCCAGAGTATTGTTATAAAAGTTAGGCCACACGTAGTCCTGAATGTGTATAACGTGTTGCGTATTGCATAATGTTTTATTTAGGCAATAGTTCGAGCACTGCCAGATCTTTATCTATTGAAGATATTCTTATAGACCAATTACAGGTTATAGAATAATTCAGGAGATTTTTAAAAAGTTTGAAAATACCAGACTGTGATTCCTACTTATAACTAGACATTTTTATTATTTAAAGAACGAATAAAAAATAATTTATTATAATTACGTACAAAATTTTCCCTGTACTGGAAAATTATGTATTCAATAACATTGTCTACATTTTGTAAATTTGAATTGATATTATCTGACCCTGTTTGTAAGCTAATCGGCAAATCTCCAACATCATTAGAGGCAGATAAACTATTTGATTTGCTTGAAGATTCTCTGGAGTCCATTGTAACATTTACTTCTTGACATAATTTACGTTTTTTTGGACAAAAACTGCACTTGCATCGCTATTTTCATCTTTCGAGTCACTCGAAGCTTACGAACTAGAAGAGTAAGCATCAGACGAATAAACATCACCTAATTATAGAATCACTTTCCTCATCCGACATTAGTTCATCCCACAACTGTAATTGCCCTTTTTCGTAATCTCTTTTTGTGCGTATACCTTGTTGATATTCACTTTACTCCTCTGCTATTCTCAAAACCTCTGTTCATCTAAGGAGCTAACAACAAACTGGTTTGCACGAGTCGCTTGATTCTCGAGACGACTACTTTTTCCTTGAATACCAGGCGGTGCCATGGCACAACGTATGTACCACATGGCCCGTAGAAACAATATAAATTCTTTGGGCCGCGCGGCACAAACTTTAGGCCACAAAAAAAATGTTTCAAAATTCACAAAAAAAGACAGATACCCAAAAATATTTTCAACTAGACAATAAAATACTGAAAGAAGAAGAAGTTCTGAAGAAGTATTTATTTCTTATGGTGGTTTGTTCCTAAAAGTATATAATCAATTTATTAGTCAAAATTTTGGGTAATCTTTTGAGCAAAGGTTTGGTCAAATATTTATCACTAAAGTCATACTATAAACAAAGGAATGTTCAAAAAATAATGATATGATGAATTATAAACAAAGTAATGTAAAATAATCAATGATGAAGCGATATGATAAAACGTTTTGTTGTTGTTTTGATAATTTTTGCAGCATTACTTCACCAGTCTTTTACTACAGTTATAGATTATATTTTAGAAAATTAACAATTGCTTTTTGTTTTAGTTTCAAGGCGATCTATGGACATGTTAAGAGTGCGAGCGACTGACCCACGACCGTGTCCCAAATGTGGCAAAATCTATAGGTCCGCCCACACCCTTCGTACCCACTTAGAAGATAAACACACGATATGTCCCGGTTACAGGTGTGTCCTGTGTGGAACCGTTGCAAAATCCAGAAACTCTTTGCATTCACATATGTCACGACAACACCGAGGCATCAGTACAAAAGATCTTCCCGTCCTTCCCATGCCTGCACCTTTTGATCCCGATCTTGCCAGCAGGTAAATTTTTTCTATTGTTTTAACCCAGTAAATACAAGTATGTTTGGTACAATATTGGAAATACAATACAATACTTTTTTCAGATTATTGGCCAAAGCTGGAGTTAAAATAAGTCCAGCAGAGCTTCGGGCTAGGGCCTCCCCTACTGGTCCCCGTCGATCTGATGTGAAATTAGACGCCAAAAGTGCATACTCCGGAGCAGCATCCGAAGCTGGTAGTTCGATCTGTGGCGACAATGATCCCGAAGACCTTACAATGTCAAATCAAAGGTACGGAGGTCTAGATTTCGGTCTCTCACCTCCTATGCACCAACAAAACCACTTTAAAATGAACAGGTCCGGACAGGCAGTTGCAGCGAAGAGTCTGGATTCCCTTCACAACCTTTCCAAGGAACCGTACCCCGCACCTTTAGCTCCTCCGACTTCAGGTGCGAATACGACAGGTTCAGCAATACTAGATACCTACCTGCAGCTGATGATGTCGACAGAGCAAGCAGCGGCGGCAATGCAAGCTGCGAATCTAGCGCAACTGAACGCTATGGGCCTGGACAAGGCTTCTCAGCAGCAGTTCTTGGAAAAAATGCAGCAGATGCAAAGCGCTAGCGAGATGATGATGAAAAGGAACGATGAAATTCGGCGAGGGGAGTCAGACATGGTAAACCATGACAGGAACAACCAAGACAAACATCACGACGACGCTGACACGTCGGGAGGGGAGGAAGATGAATATAGCGAAGAAGAGCTAGAGCGAGAAAGCGTGAAAGCTGGAGGGGAGTAGTGTTAAGGTTCTACAGTTAAGTTATAAGAATCGGATCAGTTGCCGTTATTCTTGCCTTACTGGATGATATAACGACGTCTACCAGTAATGTTCTCTTGTTATTCCATCCAACTACCTCAGTTTGAATCTCATTTCAAAGATATTTATTGAGACGTTTGATTTTCATATACATACAGCTCCGTGAGCTTGAAAAGGTGATACAGGTGGTACTTTTCTCGTAATTGGTTTATTGAATCCTCTATAAATATGTATACGTACTACATCCTAGGACTTATAAGTCCCTCATAGTTTATATAGTTGTAACAATAATGGGTCTGATTTTATCATAAAGTTTAAAATTTTCAGCAAAAGCTTGATCGCTCTTCTTTAGAAGGGAAGGTTTTATTTTATTTATTCTTAACTAAATTATTTATTTCTTCAAGATGTTTTTAGTGCCTCCAAATAAGTGACTTTGATCTAATTGTTAATATCATAGTAAATAATTCTTATATATGATCAAAAGAACCGATTAAACAAACGATTCTTTGTTTTAAAGTGATAGATAAGAGACAAATGTAAAAATGTTTTTTATTTAAACAGTAATTATTATTTTTGACAGTTTCGTGTATTTGTTGACAATATTCAATAATAGAAACTTAAATAGAAGCATAAATACTTACTAGACCTGATTATCATAGAAATCTACCATCAAAGGAAAGTACAGAAGTACTCAGTAAATTAGCTTTGCTATGCCAGACTATAGGGTAGAGGTGAGATGGTTGATCCCTGTTTTAGTATTTAAAGTAGTACCAACTGTGTGACGATTAAAAACTGAGCTTTGTGCCAAGCTTGTTTCTTCTGATGTCCTTAATGACAGCGTAGGTTCTATCAAGAAAACCTCGGTACCAGTCGCGGCCAGCTTTATTTTATATATGATATCCTATTTGTTGCAGCATAGGAGTATGCCAATTTGCGCAATTGCCCCACAGTAAGACCGTAATACATCTTGGACATATCTTTCGAATATATACCAAGTTCTTTTTCCTAGTCAAGTGAAAAACTTGGCGCACCTTGTAGCCTGGGAGAGATAACATGTGTTTTTTTTCTGCACAACCTCTTCAATGGCACGACATGTATTCCGAACTGCCTAGCGGATGCTTTGTAGCTTTCTCCATTTTTTACCGCATTTACAGCCGATTTAACATGTTTTGCATCAGGTGCAAGTCGTTTTGTTGCCCATATTTTAGTTGAATACTTACGTGGCACTTGAAAAAATAAACATGAATAAAATTAATTACATTAAACACGAGATTAAAAGAAACGCAGAATGGAATACTTGATCCAGGGATCAAATATCCCTCATTTAGTAGGATATACTACCCCTGCAATGACATTTTTCTAACAAGTGCAAGTTTTAGGTTACAATTTAAACAGTTAAACAGTTTCAATTTAAATATCAATGTTTTAGTATTTAGTGGATAAAAGTACAAATGTTTCACCTATTTGGGCAGTATAATTATAAACTAAACTTGCTATAACTTACCTCGTTTAAAGTTGCTATAACTTACCTCGCACGCGTAAAATAAACTTTCAATGTCACAAAATAGAATAATCTTGATTAAAATGTCAACCGTGTCCTGAAGTAGCAGCCATTTGTCAAAACAAACTAAACAGTATGGCCTCTACCCAAGTGGGTCAACACTTGGGCAGAGGATAAAAGGATATCATTGGGCGCTAAATTTAAATGGGTACCAAGTACCCCACCTGGATCAACTATCCCACCTCTACCCTACCACAAAAGATTTGGCCTGTACTCTTGCTGGCTGGCATTTGTTCTAATCGTTACAAGACGCTCGTGGTTTATAGCAAACACATTAACGCAATATGAAACAGCATAGCAGAGGCTTTCCAGAAAGTATTTATGTAAAATATTATGCAGTATTTATTGGTCGTGGTCTAGAATTATTTCTTCCCGACATCATAGACCGCGGCCTGACAGACGGACTGTAAACCTAATAAACAATACATAATATAATCATTACATGCCTATGGTAGATTTCTATTTTAGAGCAACGACAGAGTATTAAAACCCGAACTAATGAAAGAGGAAACTACTTTTAACCTACTACAAGAAAAGTACCAACAGTTCATACATATACCTTAAATATTAATCCATCCGTCTACCTCAGATATAGTTATATAATTCATAGTTATCGAGTGCAAGATAATAAGGGTTTAAAAGTGTATACGGTAAATTTAGTATGTAACGTTATAGGACTTCGTTGCAGTTATCTGATAACTAAGGAAATGTCGATGTTTTTGCATGAAACGTAGCCGCGATTTTTTCTATATAAAAACTAATGTAGACGCTTTCTGTAAGCAACGGGTCCCTTATTTATCGGAAGAATCTTCATTAGTAGAGAATTAACTATTATCTTAGATTTTTATATCCATTAAGAGTAGATCTATCACTATTTAAAACCTATTTTATCACTAAAACTCTAAAAGCTATAGATTTTAAAATATTCATTGATTTATCGCAATAATCGCATAATTTAGCATTTCATTCGAGCTTTTACTGACCTTTTTAGGTCCACTTAAGTAAAATCAGCTTGTTTTATCGATTATCTTGATCCCTATGAAAAAATTCACTTTCCTAATTACCACGAAATCTTTTTTAGTATTCCCGTTTACTTTTTTATAACCTTTATGTTCTTTGTCTTCTTCTCTAATCAGGCGAGATACTTCATCTCTCTGGCACTCGGTTATGAGACCTTTGTACTAAATCCTTTGCTTTCATGAAACTCCACAATAAATTTTGTGCCCTTGATAAAAACCAAAACCTTTTTACTAGGAGCTTAAGGAATTCTTCGGATTTAATACTTGTTTTACATATATCCGAGTCATTAGACATTAAGCATATGATCTATTATACTTCACGAAAGCCTATTGTCAGTGTTACTATAATTATGTATTTGTCTTTCGGTAAAGACATATATGTTTTTCGTTTTATAGCGCTCCTCTTAATGATTTCATCGGTACAGACTAACAGTGCCTTGAACACTGTCGAGCAGAAACTGTACGACATAGAATGCACAGATTTTGATCCATCTGTGAACCGTACTTGATCCCAATTAATATAAAACTAATGACTCTAATGAGGTTCTTGCACTTTTAAAGGCTTGTGTAATAGTCAGTCACCTGTCTCTGTAGACTGCTAACTCGCCTATAATATACTTTCTCATTTGTCTTCAATATGTGCTAAATCTAGACGTTCTATAATATATTGTTACCTCACTCACCGATTGAATCTTTCAGCGATATGGTAAACATCAAATTATATGCACCTACAATTTCTACGAGCAGAATATAACTTTTGGGTGAACTTTAACAAAAGTGCAAGCTGAATATAGCCGCAAATGTCAACCATGAAACAAAAAATTTCGGTTTATCAGTATTCGAATGTTTTTATAATGCAAATGTATACTTCAAATATAAAGGGAGAAAGCTTATAAAAAAGTACATTTTATGAATTCTGCAATATTTAATTTATATAAAATAATAACGAGTAAATATTTGTCCCTTGCGAGATTAATTGCAAACATATATTGCAATCTGGTAACTGATGGTTTGACGATTGTCAAATATATCCGCTAATCTATCAAAGGGCGACTGAGATTAATTAACTCCAATTAATCCCAAAAGAAACAAATATTTACTCTTTCTTTCTTTTGTTCTTGTTCTATGTAAACTAAAAATTACAGAATTCACAACATATTTTAATCAAAATGTACTTTTCTAATGATTTTTGCCAAACTGCCACTGCCAAACTGAAATATTTTTTCCATGGTTGCCATTTGCGGCTATATTCAGCTTGTACTTTCGTTAAAGTGAACGAACTTTTGTTTTTGTAAATAAGTAGGTACTAAAATACTCATTTACGTATCTGTAATTTGTAGTGCCTCTATATTTATCAAGATATCCATACCTGTATCTCCTATCAAATTTTAGTTGTTCTCCAACAGTCTCCATCCTTGTCATTATATATGCATGACCTGGGCCGACTTTTACCCTGCTTTACCCTAAATTGCAATTGCAAATATCTGTGAGTCAGGCAATATTATTGGCCTATTTCTCTCTCTCTCTCTCTCTATCTATCTATCTTTCTCTCTATCTCTCTCTCTCTCTCTCTCTCTCTCTCTCTCTCTCTATTTTATTTATTTATTCTTCCTAAGTTCATTGTTTAAGAAACTAATAAATGAATCCTGCAATCTGCATATATTTTCTTTCTTGGATTAATATTTTGATTTTAAAGTGGATCTCTATCACAATTTTAGTGAAGTCTGGCTCTAAATCATACCGAGGTTGTTGAATTAGGTCACGTCCTAGGCTTATAATGACACCGTAAGCATTCACCGCATATAAAATCAAATATTACATGAAAATTGCACACTGCACAGCAAATGTCTACTCATTGCAGCATATATCCCCTGAAAATTGTGCTATAACCTAAAAATTTCTATCCTAAATATACTTCTTTCTCTGTTCTACTGGCCCATGGTGCTTTGCCTTTCGACTCATAGCCAAGTTTTAATGATAAAGATCATTGATTATTTTAAAACCAGTAGTTCTCAATATTTTATTGAATTTATGTTCTTGTTGTTGTTTGTTTGTGTTTAAATGACTGCGGACACTAAATCCATTCGCCAATCTTACAATTTCAGGTGTAGTGTGTGTGTGTGTGTGTGTAGAGTAATTGTCTTGATACTTAGCAAAGTCGACGTCATTGTCTTTGCTAAGAGACGCTAATTGTATCCGAACGTCTGCGGTCCCTCCGGTGTGTACCGATCACACAAGGATAGAAATTATTTTCATTTATTAATTTTTTTTAATAAACGAAAATTTCCACCCAGGTGGGATTCGAACTCACGACCTTTAGGTTTAAAGGCAGGCGCTCTTACCACTGAGCCACAGAGGGGGTAATTTATGTTCTTATAAGATTTTAAGCAATGAAACGCACT